ACCCATTGGAATCTTTTCAGAATGGCATGGTTGGAGGATCAGTTTTATATTAGGCCACTTTGTCATGGTTATGGATGCCCATGGCCTTATATACTATGTTGTTGCTGATTTCTTCTTACTCTAGATTTTATATGTTATCTCAAAGTGTATATAAATTTTACAATAATTTGTTTCCTTTTTCCCATTTTTTCATAATTAAGACACAAAAGCATTGATTGTGGTTATGAGTATTATTAACTCGTACGATAAGACACGTTTTAAAACAAGGAATTTTAATAATAAAAATGTCGAGATATTAAATTTGTCTTTTAAAAATTTTTTTGATTGATTTATTGTAACTATTTTGTTGGTAATTACAAAGGGTGGTAAATTGGTAGGTTGGGTTGGTTATGAGTTGGGTTAAATTGGATTGAGTTAAAATAAATCAAATTTATTTTTCGCTCACATAATAAATGAGTTATAATGAGTTGAATTTATAAGGAGTTGGGTTAAACTGATAATCCTATAAAATAATTAAAAATCTTAATAAACACATTAGTAAACTAAGATACGCACACACACACATATTAGTAGTACACCAAAATACAAACATGCACAAAGACACTAATACACTAAAACACACACAAATTAATACATTAAAAATATACACACATATACTAACACAAACTAAAACATATTTAACAAAAAAAATAAACATATAATAGGTCGGGGTCAATTGTGGGCTATGGGTTAGTTTATGGGTCATGGGTCGACCCATGGGTCACAGGTTAACCCATGGGTCATAGGTGGTGTATTAGTGTGTGTGTTTTTGGTGTATTAGTGTGTATTTTTTGGTATATTAGTTTGTATTTTTTGGTGTAATAGTGTATTTATTTAATTTTATTATTTGTGTTATTTAATAAAAAGTTAAATATTCAATTCAATGGGTACCCATTTGTAATCCATATTGACCCGCTTAATTAAAATAAATAATATTACCCAATTCATTTATTTATGGACGAGTTAATGGGTAATGGTTTAAAATTGTCATCTCTAATAATTACATATATTCTAAGTTTATAAAACAATAATATATTTTTAGAAATATTTGGTTAAAATAATTTTGGATTGTTAAGAGAGAGCAAAAGGGATATGGAAGTTTGTCTTATTAGGAGGGTTTTTTTTTTCTTCCTTCCAAGAAAAATACAATAGTTGCATAAGATAAACACTCATTATTTAGCCTTAAAATATTAGATTTAAGAAGGATAGCGACCGGCCGAATGATCATTGTTTTTTTTGTTGGATTTTAAAGTCGTGGGTGCAAACCATGTCATTCTCCACTATGTAATATTGCTGATGAAAAAATATATATATTTTATTTTTAAGGGCTTATACAAATGGAAATATGGTCTTATACCTAATAAGATCATATGGACAAGAGTGAATGAGCTTAACCACATGGACAAGAGTGAAGTGGTTGACTCATCATTAATGTCATTCTTTACTACAAAGAAACCGATGGAAAAGTTTCCATTTCTACATTTCCATTAGTGGGTATTAACTTTTTTTTTTTTTGGTCGAAGACATACACAAATAACATACAAAGAACCCACACATCTAGGAGCTAAGAACGCAGAGGGCTGAGAGGGACTCATTGACCACACTCCTTTTAAAAGAGGAAATTGGCCAAAAGGCCTCTTAAACTCGATCAATGAGTTCTTAAGCAAGATGTGCCATGGGTTCTTAAGCAACCGAAGTGAGATATATTTCAATTTTTTGGTTACACAAATAACACACAAAGAATCCACACATCTAAGAGCTAAGAACACATAGGGTTGAGAGGGACTCATTGACCAAATTCCTCTTAGAAGAGGAAACTGGCCAAAGGCCTCCTAAACTCGATCCAACAGTTCTTAAGCAACCGATGTGCCATGAGTTCTTAAGCAACCGATGAGGGATATATTTCAGGTTTTTGGTTGAAGACATACACAAATAAAACACAAAGAATTCACACATCTAAGAGCTAAGAACACAGAGGGTTGAGAGGGACCCATTGAACAAATTACTCATAGAAGAGGAAACTGGCCAAAGGCCTCTTAAACTCAATCCATGAGTTCTTAAGCAACAGATGTGCCATGAGTTCTTAAGCAACCGATGTGGGATATATTTTAGGTTTTTGGTTGAAGACACACACAAATAACACATAAAGAATTCACACATCTAAGAGCTAAGAACACAGAGGGTTGAGAGGGACCCATTGAACAAATTCCTCTTAGAAGAGGAAACTGGGCAGAGGCCTCTTAAGCTCAATCCATGAGTTCTTAAGCAACCAATGTGCCATGAGTTCTTAAACAACTGATTTGGGATATATTTTAGGTTTTTGGTCGAAGACTTGCACAAATAACACAAAGAATTCACACATCTAAGAGCTAAGAACACAGAGGGCTGAGAGGGACCCATTGACCAAATATTGAGCCACCCTGTCATAGTTATGGATGCCCATAGCCATATATACCATGTTGCTTATTTCTCCTTACTCTAGATTTTATATGATATCTCGAAGTGTCCCTGTTGGTATATAAATTTTACAATAATTTGTTTCTTTTTTTCCATTTTTTTAATTAGGACACAAAAGCAATGACTGTGGTTATAAGTATGATAAGACATGGTATAGAACAAGGAGTTCTAGTAATAAATATGTCAGACATACTAAATTTGTCTTTAAAAAATATTTTTGGTTGATTTAATGTAACTGTTTTGTTAGTGATTACATATATTCCAAGTTTATATGACAACAATATATTTGTAAAAATTTGTGGTTAAAATAATTTTCAATTGTCAAGAGATAGCAAAAGGGATATGAAAGTTTGTCAAATTAGGGATGTTTTTTTTTTTCCTTCCAAGAAAAATACAATAGTTGCACAAGATAAACACTCATTTAGGGGTGTCAATCGTATCGTGTCGTATCATTTTCGCGTCGTGTCACTTTTGATTGTATTATTTTTGTGTAGTATCACTTTTGGCACGTGTCGGATTTGTGTCAATCAAAAATTATTTAATTTGACAATAACTAATATAATACTATTTAAAAAATTTTAAAATTTTTATTTTCTATTTATAATACTCGTTGGATAATTATCTTCTATTTACGGTACTCATTAATTGTGTTCTTCGTATCGAACCTTAATTTGACTCATTTATTACTTGTGTCAACTAATCGTTTTATTTTTAGGTTCGTGTCAGGTTCATGTTAACGGAAAAAATTGACACCCCTACATTTTTTAGCCTTAAAATATTAGATTTAAGAAGGTTAGCCGTTGACCGAATAACCATTGTCTTTTGGTTGAATTTTAAAGTCATGGATACGGACCTTGTCATTCTTCTCCATGTAATATTGCGGATGAAAAAAAAATATATATATTTTATTTTTAAGGGCTTATACAAATGGAAATATGGTCTTATTATACCTAATAATTGCGTGAATGGGCTTAACCACACGGACAAGAGTGAAGTGGTTGACTCATCATTAATGCCATTCTTTAAAGAAACCAATGAAAAAGTTTCCATTTCTCCCATATGAATCGAACAAGGCCTATAAACGTACCATGCCCATCAAATATTCTTGTTATTGCATTTTCAATGGAAAAATAAAATTACTTATTTAACCCTTAAATTATATCATTTATGTTAATTAACCCCATGAATTAGGTTTTGTGTTAATTTCATTATATCCTAATATCTAACTCGTGAAATGCACGTGAGGATTATCGTCAAAGTTAGCTTCAAATTTTGATTGAAATACCACATTGAGTCAGATTTTATAGTTCACAGATTAAATTGACATAAAACATATTTTAAGAGTTTGATAGACACAAACGGTATATAGTTAACTCTATGATTTTTATTTTTAATGTTATTTTTTGATCAATCTGGAATTATTCGATTTGAAAAGAAGACTTAGGATTAAAAAAACTCAAATATTGTAGAACCATTAATCATCCGAATTAGAAAATGGAAAGTCAAAAATACAAAAGAAAGAGAAAAATAATAATTCTATAATAAAAGAAAAAAAAAAGGAAATAATAGAAAGAAAAATACAAAATACTTCCGTATAAAGAAGACTTTCTTTTCGATTGAGTTATTTTGGGGAGCACGTATATTAGTGGCATTACTATAAATATGAAACGAATGGGCTCCAATATCGACCAATAAAAGTAATCTGTAATCGCTTTTGCAGAAACGGCTCGTCTAATTCGTTGGCGAATCGTGGCATTACTCTATCTTCACTACCAGCAACTGAAAGGTAGCCAAAGTTTCCACACGCTTTTTATCAGCGTGTAGAAATCACGCTCCAAAATTTCCGTCATGCTTTACCCTTTGATTCGCTAATGGTCATCACGTTTGTGAATAGAGGGTGGGGCAATTATTCTGCCAGCTAAGGTAGAATGTTACTGGCAAAATGCATGGCATGATATGCATGCCATGAGAAGATAGGATCATGCGATATGTATGGCCATGCCAACTCATCATCATTATTTTTTCATATAAATATTCACCCCCTTCAATAGATTTTGACCTCTTTGGGAATCGGTGAAAACAAGTTGCAGCAGAGAGAGAGAGAGAGAGAGTGAGAGAGACAAAACCAACGAGGTATTCTTTATTCTAATTTAGTATTTGTTTGTTTAGTATTTCGATGTTTTCTGATATTTATATTGCTGCGCATGGAGATTTGCGTAGTTTAATCGGTTGTTAAAACAATTTTAATTTTCGGAGATCTCTCTCTTCACACACACGGGGTCGATATCACTGTCTCCTTCTGCAAATTTGTGGAAAATTTTAACCGATTGTTATCTTGTTCTAGAGAGATAATTGTAGCCATAGATTTCTAATCTTCTCTGTTCTTGAACGAGTGATAAGTCTATATTTATTGATATACCAGATCCGATTTTCACTCTTTTTCTCTGCTGTTTGATTGAAATTTCTGAAGGGTTTTGCTAGAAAAGATTGTGGGAGAGAGATTTATGTCGGCAAGGTCTGAATTGGTTGTGATTGGGGCTCCGTTGAAGCTCTGGATTTCTCTGTCTTCTGTGTTCTTCTTTGCTCTGTGCATGCAACTAGTTCTCTGCTGTGTTCACCAGCAGAGCACCAACCTGCTTTTCCCAACTGTTTCGATGCGTTTGAGGCCAAAAAGGTACTAAATCTCTCTTAAACCCTTATGTTTGTTTTGTGTTTTTTATGTTTATGATGGCTGATCTGAAACGGGGTGTGTTCTGTTTTGGTGGGTTTTTATTTGTTTTGCAGGACTTGTTCTGGAGTAGTGTGTTTTGGGGGTTTTCACATAAAGCGATTTTTCTACCTCTTTTTGTTCTTGAGAGGGCCTCTTACTTGATAAAACTCTGCTTCTGAGAGAGAATTCCATTGTTTTATCTTTATCATTCTTTTCTCTGGCCTTTTTATTTTCATTTTCCTTTCTTCCAAACACAATTTTCCGGGTATTTTTTAGGGGTTCTGGGTAAAGATAAAGAGAAAAATGCCAGGGCCTCGGAAACAGTCACCATTGGTTCTTCAAGAAAACCTCTGCAAAAAGTCCAAAAGCAGTGCAAACTCTATTCAATCCAATAAAACCATCAGAAAAGTTCGGATAATCTGTCATGATCCGGACGCTACCGATTCTTCAGACGATGAGCGAATCAAAGAACCGCCGTGTCCGAAACGAATTGTTCGAGAGGTTAATCTTCCAACTGGTTTTTCTCATGGACCAATCAAACCAACCAAAGGTCCAGAAATGGAGAGTTCGTGTCAAGATAGCAACAATGGCGAGAAAAACCCAGAAAAGAAGGTGGTTTTGGAGAAAAACCTATTATCGAAACGCGCTTCTTCCTCGAAATACAGGGGGGTTAGGCAGAGGAAATGGGGGAAATGGGCTGCGGAGATTCGCGACCCTATTCAGAAAAAAAGGGTTTGGTTGGGGACATATGATACTCCTGAAGAGGCCGCAAAGGCTTATGAAGTGAAGAGGCGTGAATTTGAGGCCATGGCTATTGCTTCTGAGAAGAGTTTCACTCACTCTTCCACTGCAGTGGTCTCTGAGTTTTGTAATCAGAAAGAACCTGCTGTTTCTGAGGGCTCTGGAAGTGTGGTTTCTCACACATCACCGAGTTCAGTTCTTGATTTGGAGTCTCTGACTTCTGCTTCAAATTCACGAATCAATGGCATATGTGATGATTTTGTTAAAGATGTTTGTATGGAGACCAACCTCGATGACCTTTTTATGGAGACTAATATTGAAGATGTGTGTATGGGGACCAAAGTTCCTGAGGAGAAAGTGGCTGATGTGGGTTTGGTGGATGATGCTTCAATGTTAGCTCAAGTTGGGGAAGGTTTGGATTTGGGTTTGGAGCTTGGTTCTCTGTTCATTGATGATTTTGGGCAGGCTCTTGATGATTTTTGCGGATTTGATGACCTACAAATTTGTGGGTTTGATGATGATAAGCCTAGTGATCTGCCTGATTTTGATTTTGATTTTGATTTCGATTTCGAGGTTGGGAATGAAGTGTTGGCATGGATGGATGAACCACCCCTGATGAAAGAACCCCTCAATATTGCATGCCCTTAAGTTTTGCAGTCTAGTAGAATGAGTATTAGTAATGCCTTAAATTATTTTGCTTTGGAGAAGTATCTCAAGAACATTGAAGTACTTGAGAGTTTTGTTTTCTTTCTTAAATGAGCCTATTTGTTTGTTTATTGAGAGAGATTCATAAGAGGAATGAGCTCAGTTCAGTTGTATGAAGAGGGTCCTTTGGGTTTTACTGTGCTATTAGAGCCGTCCAAAGGATTTCCAAAACTCATTTGAGAGAGGAGGACATCACTGGTGCAAAGTTTTGAGAGTTTGCTCATTCCTCTGCTCTCTTTTTTGCTCTGGTATTAAATTGTCAGTGTTACTTTCTTTTATATATGTACGAGGCATGAACTCTTATGATGTATTTACCTCAGTAATTTGATAGCCCTTTGAACTTTATTTACTACCATGTTTGAAAATCTGTTGATACCAATATATGATAGCACTATGAGTTTTATTTGATTAGGTATCTTTCTTTTCAATATAAATACGTGTTGAATATTAGTTAATCGAGTCTCTTGTAGCACCTTATGGGATTGAATCTATTATCAGGTTCTTTTTTATAGAAATTCATTGTTCGATAACGATATGGAACGATGGATCAATGAATCATGTTCATGGTTAAACTTCTGTGCTTGAAATCTGAAGTCTTTTCAATGGGGATGTTGCAGTTGGGATTTGAGCATTGGGATTGAAAGCTACAAATTCCTAATGCTTTGATTCCCATGAAAGTTTTGAATTTTATTTTGTTTTATTCTGATTTATTCCATGAATGTTAAGTTGATACAGGGAATTTGGGCTGCTACTCAAGTCGGTCAATAGACTTATAATGTTTTATTGTGTGGTAGACCTTAAAAAAGTGAGTGTGTGCGCCGTTTGTGGGCCGTCTTTTCGTGATACTTTTTCTTTGCCAAGCAAAGAATATTAGCAACTCGAGGTTAGCGTGTTTAATTAAGTCAAGTTTTGAGAGTTTAAATTTGAGCTTATCGAATTTATGTTTTTAAAATGAGTTTAAAAATTTATTCAAATACGGTTTTTTAAGAATTCCAGTTTGAGTTGAGCCGAGTTTGAGTTCAAATAATTCGATTATTTTATATATAAATTAATTGAATTTTGTGAGTTTGAATTTAGTTTTTTAATGTTTGGTTTTTTAAATGAATTTAAAAAATTACTTTAATTTAATTGTTTAGAGTATGAGCTGAATTTTGATTTGAGTTTTATTCGAACTGAGTCAAGACCAGTCGAATGCTCATCTCGGTTAACACTCTAAATAAGACCCTCGAAAGATGAATAATCTGCTCTGTAGAGTCTTTTCTAAGCTAAATATAGCTGTATTCCAATTTCCACTTGGTCATGCCACGCACTCACCTATTTCTCTTTAATGAGGGCCTCTTTGGGGACACTTTAAGTGGGTGAGTGTTTGGTGACATGTTTGACAATGGATAATAGCGTTGCTTGTTGGCTGTTTTTGTAGATTGCTTAGTGGCAGTGGTAGTGGGATTTTTGGGTTTAAATTGGTATATTGGAAGATGACGTTAATGACCGCTTAAGCCACGCATCATAAGTAAAAGTTTCTTGGGCATTGCAAATATTCTTTCACAATACTCATGTTGTAATAAAGATAAGTTTTGACATTTTGAATTCAAATTTTTGTAATTTTTTTAAGGTTAGTCATAAAAAATTTATTTTTCATGCCTTTAATCGAACTAGAAAAAAGATTCGTTAAAATATGTGTAAATTAATCAAAATATTTTTGGCCATTGAATATAACAAAAATAGCCATGTTGTAGACGTTTCGGGGTTGTGAAAAGTTTCATTTATTTTATTTTTTAAATGTCAAACAAGTAGTTAAAGGTGGTGTTTTCAAAAAGTCGGTTCCCATGGATGGAGAAATTCCATTTCTTCTAGATTAGATTAGGGTCCTCTCTAGTTATAGATTTCTTTAGTTCATTTAGTCCTAGAATATTCATTGCACTCGTTTGATTACTATATTATAAAAGACAATTGTATTAACCAATACAGACTAATCTTAGAATATATACTTGAATTTTTGAGCAATTCAGAGATGTCTTACCCATTTTGATTATTTTTTATAATTGTATGAAGTAATATAGCCTAATCTTAATATATATACTTGAATTTTTTGAGAAAATTAAGAGATGTCTTACCCATTTTAATTATTCCACGTCAATTCGTGGAAGTATATACATTACTAAAATATATACATATTTTGAGTTTGGATCTTGATAATTTTTTTTAAAGTCAGGTCAGGATAAATTTATCATTCATGAATATCTTAATTTTAACCTGAATAATCTATTTTTAATTTAATTAAAAATAAAATTAATCAAAATACGCGTAAATTAAATTGAATGCACGACCGTTTAAATAAAAAAAAATTGAATTTATGATCAGGGCACTCAACAGTTGTGTGGTGCGGAACTTATTCAATGCAGCAGTACTACTTCACAAAACCAATGGCCCATAGGAGGACACAACGGCATGTGCGTGGGAGGACACCTTTTTTTCTTGGCGCCGTAGGTGATCTTTGGTGTCAATAGTATTACCACCTTTTTTCTGTACCAAGTTCAATTTGCAGCACAGAAAAATGAAGGGTGAATAACACTGCACCTCCCATTTTGGGACCCACGTTAATTCTGATTTTTCTCTTTTAAAAGTCCAAAAGAAAATTTGTTTGCCAACTAATCGTTCGTGATAATTTGGATGATAGAATTTCGATAGTTAATATTATAAGATTTTTGTTTTTTGATTATAGGGTGTCCGAATTTATACTGACTATTTTCTTGAATTTAACGACTAGTTTAATTGAGTTAGAGTATGTCCCTAAAGAGATGAGGTTGACTAACCCCTTAAGGAGTGTGAGAAGGAATTAAACTTGAAATATCTGAGCAATTAAAGATTAAACTCGACTACTAAATCACCCTTAAAGTTTAATATTACAAGATCTTAAGTTCAAGTTTAGTAACACAATATTGTAAAAACTAATGTGCATGATTTACGGGTCATTATTGGTTGGATACATGAGAGGATACGAAAACAACTTATGATTGCTATACTTATCAAATTTAATTTCACTTACCGAATCAATATGAATTATTGGGTCAGCTCGTGTTATTAACTTTGTTTTCGTAAGACTGACTAATTCAATCATTCACGTTTTCCTAATAAATAATTTTTTATAGATTTCTTTTTATTTTGATCTACACATCATTTTGCCAAAAGAAATAGCATGTGAGAGATCAAGACACGGGGCCCGGAATTAAACAAGTCATAACAGTGTTTTAGAACATGTCTAAGTCGGATGTATATGAAAAAAGAAATTGATTTGGGGCAGGTTTGGACTGGCTGTTAACCAATGGGGGTGTCTGGTTAGGTTAGTTAATTACATAATCTTAGGTTGACTTTTTGTGTTCATTGATTAGACACACTTTTGTCAATTCCGTTGTCTTTGAAAAAACTAACATTTCTTTTTCATTATTCAAGAAGGGTACTCATGGGTAGGCCAAAAAAATGTACCAACTCTGAGGAAGGGGGTGTGGGGGCGGCAGCAAGGGCAGTTTTCCACGGACTTTTCACAAACAGTTGGCGTTCAACTTTGGGCGAGTCACAACCGGTTCGAGTTTAGGGGTCCACCACGAGGATGTATAGGCTCTTCATAATTTGTCGGGGGAATTACACTTTGCACCTGAAAAGATTTTAAGATTCTCATTTTATATTTTTAAAAATTAGATTTTTTATATTATAATCTCAACTTATCAAAAATGTTATAATGTGATTATTCTGTAAATTTTTTGTTAGTTTTTCAATCAATGTCAATGAACTGATTTTTGACAGAAAAAAAATAACAGGAGCTAATAAAAGATTCACATTGTAATACTTCTGATATATTAATGGTGCAATATAAACAAAATTAATCTTTGAAAGTATAAAATAAAAATATTAAATCTATCAAGGTATAAAGTACAAAAAATCCTAATTTTTCTAAAATTTGGGTGAAATTCACAATTCTACAATGAGAATCGTGATGTCAACAATACCAATGTTTTGTTTCGTGTATATCGAGCAATGGATAGAGGCCTCAGGATTCACATAGAAAGGTGCAACTTGTATAGGTAGGGTATTTTAGAGCCTAATATGAAAGTTTTTTTATATTCGTACAAATATTTGAAGTATTTTGGGTTATACAAAAAATTCCAATTCCATTTTTTAGAGTACTCAGTTGACGACGTCTCCACCTAAACTCAATAATCAGTAAATTCAAATTCAAATTCAACTTAGTTGAACTTGATTCTAGCTCAATCTCTAAACCAAGTTGTCTAACTTGATATTAAATTCTAATAGAGCCCAAATAATAGCTTTTTTTTTTTTAATTGGGTCTGATTTATAGTTCGAGTTAGATAATTTGAGAATCAAATTAGATTTCAACTAAGATACTAATTTGTGTTGAATGCGAGTTCAAAAATTTAAGGATCGGTAGTGATCAATTTAAAAGGTTTGTGTTGAATCCAGCTTTTGATTAAGTCGTGAATTTATATCTCATTTTGCCTAGAGTTGCATTCTAGAGTTAGACGATGATGCAATCGTTTATTGACCACAAAATTTCACTATGTAAATGTGGTTTTAGCGTAAATTTTCTTTATTAGAAAAGCAAGGTAATATGTTGTTTAGAAATAAGACAGTCGTTCAATTTGTTGTACCTTCGAACACTTTTTTCCAAAGAGAAAAGAAAAAGGTGCCGGCAAATTAGACCGCAATGGTTGCTCATGTCTCTCTCTCTCTCTCTCTCACACACACACACAGGGGCATCTACGACTCTATAACGAAAACACATACATTCATGGTGCATAGTGGAGTTCCCTATATACTTTGCATTTGTTCATTTTTGGCATACATACAGATTTTTTCCAATACACCCGTAGTGAAACCTACTTTACCATCCTATATAACAAATAGTATAATGGCGAATAATTCAATAT